CCAACAAAAGATTTCCAGTGAGCAGTAGGCCAACAAAACATTTCCAGTGAGCAGTAGACCAACAAAACATTTCCAGTGAGCAGTAGGCCAACAAAACATTTCCAGTGAGCAGTAGGCCAACAAAACATTTCCAGTGAGCAGTAGACCAACAAAACATTTCCAGTGAGCAGCAGACCAACAAAACATTTCCTGCGAGCAGCAGACCAACAAAACATTTCCAGTGAGCAGTAGACTAACAAAACATTTCCAGTGAGCAGTACACTAACAAAATATTTCCTGTGAGCAGCAGACCAACAAAACATTTCCAGTGAGCAGTAGACCAACAAAACATTTCCTGCGAGCAGTAGACCAACAAAACATTTCCTGTGAGCAGCAGACCAACAAAACATTTCCAGTGAGCAGTAGACTAACAAAACATTTCCAGTGAGCAGTACACTAACAAAATATTTCCTGTGAGCAGCAGACCAACAAAACATTTCCAGTGAGCAGTAGACCAACAAAACATTTCCAGTGAGCAGTAGGCCAACAACACATTTCCAGTGAGCAGTACACCAACAAAACATTTTCCAGTGAGCAGTAGACCAACAAATCATTCCCAGTGAGCATGAGACCAACAAAACATTTCCAGTGAGCAGCAGACCAACAAAACATTTCCAGTGAGCAGTAGGCCAACAAAACATTTCCAGTGAGCAGTAGACCAACAAAACATTTCCAGTGAGCAGTAGACCAACAAAACATTTCCAGTGAGCAGTAGAACAACAAATAATTTCCAGTGAGCAGCAGACCAACAAAACATTTCCAGTGAGCAGTAGACCAACAAAACATTTCCAGTGAGCAGTAGACCAACAAAACATTTCCAGTGAGCAGTAGAACAACAAAACATTTCCAGTGAGCAGTAGACCAACAAAACATTTCCAGTGAGCAGTAGACCAACAAAACATTTCCAGTGAGCAGTAGACCAACAAAACATTTCCAGTGAGCAGTAGACCAACAAAACATTTCCAGTGAGCAGTACACCAACAAAACATTTCCAGTGAGCAGTAGACCAACACAACATTTCCAGTGAGCAGTAGACTAACAAAACATTTCCAGTGAGCAGTACACCAACAAAACATTTCCAGTGAGCAGTACACCAACAAAACATTTCCAGTGAGCAGTAGACCAACAAAACATTTCCAGTGAGCAGTACACCAACAAAACATTTCCAGTGAGCAAGGCCGTAAGGGGTTAGTTGTGCAGGGATACAGACGTACAGGGGTACAGACGTACATATATGAAGCCACAGAAATCGTAAGGCATTTCGGTATAATTGTATTTTAGGAGTATGAATATATTCTACAAGTGAACATGATATATCTTAGTAAATCTTGGTATTCTTCGTTTTCATGAACGTAAATTAAACCGACGAAAACCTGTCCATAATCATAAGAACTCTTTCCTAAACGCAGAGGCCATTGTAAGATCCCGACTTTACTATAAGCGTATGTATGAATCACTATCAAATAGTGATGACACCAGGAATTCGCGAAATGTTGAGCAACGAACAGCTACAATAACTGCGCGCATAATTTCTCTCGCTCATGTATGTAATTTGATTGGACAGGTTTTTATAATCAGACGCAGAACTGAGAGATGTCAGCACATGGGTCCAGGACATTCATAATACCTGGATTATCGGGGATGCAATTGTTATCACAGATCGCTCTCGGCAAGCATAAGGTGCTTGTGATCTATCCCGCCTTTGTATCCACACGTGGTGTTGCGAAAGAGCTGGTGACACATACTCAAATTGAAAATATATCAACAACCGGCACGCTAATGGTGAAATAATTTTACGGGGTTTGCGTTTTGTTAAGCTTTACCTTATAATTATTGTCTGAACACATTTACGTGGTAGACTGGTGAAGTGACAAGCTGTCAGACGCATGAAGCTAGCCCCGTCCTCTCATATGCACCCAGACACACGTACATATTGCTGTAATGATCATAGGGTGATTTGCAATTTTGTCATGTAGGTATCCATAGATATATAAGTTTGTTTGTTGTTTAACGCCGCGCTCAGCATTATTCCAGCTGTATGACGACGGTCTTTAAATAAGCCGAGTCTGGACCAGACTGTCAAGTGATTGATGTCATAAGCATCGATCCACGCAATTGGGAAACAATGCATACAGCAAGTCATCGAGCCTAACCATCCGATCTCGTTAGTCGCCTCTTACGAAACGCATATTCGTCTCTTTCAACAAGCATGGGTTGCTGAAGACCTATTGTAACCCGAATCGTCACGGTTCATGCGTGTTTTGAAACGATGAGTGAAAAAAATATCCTGTTGCTTATGACAAACAATTATAAATAAAAACATCTTAAACTCGTCAAACAAATATGTAATGTGATGATTGTTAACAAAATAACAGATAAATTGTATTGTCGGGATAAACCCAGTTTAATGAGTAAATGTTTTAAGCCGCAGCAATATTCCAGCTAATACCACGGAGGCCGGTGTGTAATTGAGTTTGGACTGGACAAACAAGTGACCTCCGCAGTCGGGGCACGATGACAGACAGTCAACCAATTCAACAAGCCTGACCACCCGATCATCTTTAGTCGGCTCCAGTGAAAAGCATGATATATTGGGAAACTGTCACTGTTTTCTTTTCCGAAATCAAACCGGGGTCAAAGATTGGAAGCCGAAATATTTGAAACATTAATGTGATGCACATGCTAACATGCAATGCTTAGTAAGGAGATTTAGCGTCTGCTATATAATATATATAATATTAATCATATATGTTCTCAATACAGCGAAAATATCAACGCATACGTCTATCAGAACATGTACATTGAACTTCTGTACCAAACAAATTCCTGTTAAATTTCGTCCATCAAGTAGAACAATGAAATATGAGGCTAAACTTTTTCGATAATGTCCAAACTGGTAGCTTGTCAATGTTAAAGGACTGCATTTCTCTCACATCCAATTATCGCAAATTGTTGGGAGAACCTTACGCCACAACGCCGGTTTGACAGACATAATCCTGTCATTTGGGTAACTGCGTTGATACCAGGGACGACACATTCACACACTGAAAGGTAAGCACGTTACAGTGTTATGTTTCGTTGTTTATCCGGACTGTACAGCTCCTGGTGATATCATCCGGAGTGATGACTTTCTGGGTTAACGAGATAAAGGTGCCGAGTTATATGGCTGTAAATTTACATATTTATTCACAACAACATAGTTCGGAAAGCGATGTACATGTTTCACTGTAGTTTGGAAGTGTCCATGGAAATGCCATATATAGATGAATATACAAAAAGGGAGCTTAATAGCCATGCGGTAGTCGCTTCTCTTTAGATTAATATACACAAAGGAAGCTAAATAGCCAGCAGGTGTCACTTCCCTGGCGATTAATATACGGATCTGAAAAAAGCCAAATAGACCGGGATCGACACTTCTTTGTAGATTAATGTACAAATAAGGGAGCTAAATGTCCCGGGGTGGTCACTTCTCTGTGGCAAGGAAGGCTAAAAAGCCAGGAGGTGCCACATCTCTTGTAGATTAATATACAAAAACGGGAGCCAAAGAGCCAGGGTCACATCTCCTGCATAAATGGAGGGGTAAAATAGCAATGTTGTTAGTTAATTGTTGGTTTGTTGTTTAACCCCCAACTCAGCACTATTCCAGCTATTTGACGGCGGTCTGTAAATAATCGGGTCTGGACCAGACAATCCAGTTATTGATATCATGTGCATCGACCTACGCAATTGGGATCGATGACATGCATCAACCAAGTCGGTGCCTTAGGCTGGTACCTCCCAATCTGCTGACTGACATTGGGAGAGTCCCCGGGTCTGTTACCAGGAATACAGCCCTTCTGACAATCTGGGTAATGCAGAAGGCTGTAGTTTTGGGGAGTCTTCACATTCTCTGAAAAGTTCTGGATGGGTTTGACTAGGCAGCGCTTCCTAGGAGAAATCCTTTTGCTGCCTGGGCTGCGTGTAGAGAGGGCAAGGGCCCTGAGCTGATAATGAGCCTAACAAGCCTGATTGTGCCAGGATCACCCGAACCCTCTTTGCTGCATTTAAAACAAAAAATAATAATCTGTAAATAATGATAATAATAATAATGATGATGATGATGATAATAATAATAAAATAATAATAAAGTAAGTTAAGCAAAATATAGAAATACTTACATGTTTCTTCTACTTATGAGAGTATAATAATAAATACTTGTCATCTGAAGTTGGCTTAAGGCACTAAAGAGAAGTCCTGGGTGTGTGTGACAGCAAAGGGTCAGAGAGGAGCTGCATTGGGAGACTGCTCAAAGAACTGGATTTCGTCTAATGTGTTGAGAAATTTCCCTCCCCACTTGGTCATATTGGCTTTCCCAAATTTCAAGCACTATCTATTCAGTGCTAAAAGATGAATACTTACATTAATGTTTTGTACATTTAAGACCGCATCCGTGGTCCAGTGAATAGAGAGTCTGCCTGGAGTACGGAGGGTATGTGGTTCGGTCGATGTCGGCGTCACACCAAAAGACCCGTGAAGATCCGGGGTTGAATAGGTCTTCAGCAACCCATGCTTGCCGTAAGAGGCAACTAATGGGATCGGGTGGTCAGGCTCGCTGACTTGGTTGATGCATGTCATCGATCCCAATTGTGTGGATCGATGCTCATGATATTAATCACTGGATTGTCTTGTCCAGATTCGATTATTTACAGATCTCCGTCATATAGCTGGAATATTGCTGAGTGCGGTGTTAAACAACAAACCAAACCCAAAACCAAAAGACGTTAATAATGGTACATTTTGTTACCCTGCCTGGTTAAGACATTGAGGAGATAAAACAAGGACTGGTCAGGTGGTTGTGATTGTATTATGTATGAGAGGGGTAACCATGTTAAACTGGGGATCATTATGCACAAAGGTCGAAAAATGTCACATTGGTCCTGAGAATATTCGTACGTTTACCTTTTCAATTTCATAGAAGCAGAGACTAAATAATTCTTTGAATAAAGTACACTTTGAAAATTATGCACTTGTCCTCCATATTCCATTGAAGGCCACTCTACGTGCAAAACGATAATTGAAACCGAAAGCCACATTATCATAACCGGGTCAGCGCATAGCCTTATCTGATAACAAGCATGTACATGCGCCGTGATTGAAATACATACTCGTCTGCAATTTCTCACACATTACTTGTCACCAGAAGGTAAGCACGCTCTTCTTTCTGCTGAAACAATTACGTGTATGTTCCATGCAACATTATGTTACAGTTCGTCCGCATTGAAACAAGCGACCTTTATGTTTACTTTTTATATGATTAAAAGCTCACATGTTGCAGCATATACACTGACGGAAGACGCTCGACGTTTTTGCTAACAACTGAAACATTGTAAGTTTGGATCCCAATTTTGAATAGGTAATAGTTCATGTAATTATAATTCGTTGAAGATCTCACACAATGTTGACTTTTTACTTGAGACCAGCTGTATTAAATACTAGTATCTATGATTGTACTTCTGATATTGTATTGAGGTCATGAAGTGGTGAATTAGAATTGGGAGTAAGCTGGTTATATCCGTCCACGTCATAATTTAACATAAATCCATTTGGTGAACATAAATGCGATAAATACAGATACTCTTGTGGAAACGTACCTTCTCATCACAATGATAATTATGATTAGGTTATTTCTATAGCTCTTAAATATATGTACGGTATAACACATGTATCATTCTCTTTCTTTGAACTGTTCAATAGCATTATTGGTTGTCAAAACGTCTTATTTTTGTTGAAGTGAAAGCCACCGCAAAATGAGCAATACATTGAAGTTAAAAAACAACTCGTTTTTTTCTGAAATTATGTTTTATAATTTGATGTTAATCGGGTTTTTTCGATTTGGGCCCAAAATATGAAGACGTCTACAACATCAATCACTTTGAACTTTCCTCCGATAAAAGGCTGAAACGCTACGATATAGATGAAACACGGTTCAACGAGGCGACAATCCTACTCACTCATGCACAATTTACAATTTTTATTCACAAAATTCTGGAAATCTGTACAGTTTGATGTCGTTTTCATGCAACGACCTCAGAAAATATTGAATTTTGCCCCAAAATGTACGTGCAGAGAAACGTAAAGAGCATGTACATTATTTCCAGTACAGAACACCGTGTGCCATCTCATTGATGTGCACTGATCGCACATTGAATTTATTTTCTTATCCCACTAAACGTAGTATAAAAAAATATAAACAGGTAACTTGAAATATTTAACGTGAGAGGCGACTAACGGGACCGGTTGGTCAGGCTCGCTGACTTGGTTGATGCATGTCATCGATCCCAATTGCGTGGATCGATGCTCATGATATTAATCACTGGATTGTCTGTTCCAGACTCGATTATATACAGACCCCCGTCATAAAGCTGGAATATTGCTTAGTGCGGCGTTAAACAACAAACCAAACCAAAAACATAATGTAAAAATACTTACCATCCCTCGAAATCAAAATTTTAATAACAAACATGGGATTGGTTTGGATAAGCGGTTAAATTAGAGCTTCAGGCCTATTGTCAGCTTTAGAGTAAAATCTCTTTGATTTTGGTTCCAAGCAATTGCGTTCCAGGGTTTGTGCATCCATTCATTGTATTTTAATATAAACATTGTGTGTTACTGATATCGTTTGTAATGAATACCACTGTTGTGCATATCGGAAACCATGCCTACACTGTCAATGGGAGACACCGCCCAAAGTTCTCGCCATTTCCCATGTACCTGATACTGCGAAGTGATAGATGGGGAAATAATTTGTGGCACATATCATACGATAAGTGATGCATGATTGTAACGATAAATTTAAACTGGAAATACGTTTTTCCTGTCATTTGATGAAATGGAAGGCAGCACTCTCAGCCTGACACTTGCTCGCTGACTTGGTTAATTCATGTCATCGTACACCAATTGGGTAGATCGACGCTCATGATGTCAATCACAGGATTCTCTGGTCCAGACTCGATTATTTATATAATTACAGACTGCCGTCACACATGTACAGCTGGAATATTGCTGAGTGCGGTGTTAAACAAACAAACAAACATAACTGACACATTGAAAACTATGTTATGAAAACCCATGCAGTTCAGTTCTGACGAAAACGACGACATAGTCTACAATTTAAAAAGAATAACCATCTGGTTCGAGGGAATATAAGAAGTCAACCCGGATCTCATCCGGTCAGTGAGTTCGCAAGAACACTCCTCACCCACGTTCACGCACTCATACATACATGCATACACTAACGCCACTCCCGCATCCCTCTTCGTCCTTCTCTCCCTGTTCCTCCTTTCTGCAGCTGTGGATCTCACTTCGGTCATTTCCCCACGGTCGGCCTCCTTATACCAGCTGATGCACTCTCCGGCTCTCCCCTCTCTCGTGGTATACTCGTTTTCACAGCTGCTATATACTTTTCACTTTTATGTTTAAAACATAATTCCACAATGTTGATATATCCTGTTTTGGTTTGCAGCAATTAGTCATCACCCGGAAGATAAAAGCATGAAAGTGTCCCCCGTGAAAAGCACATTGATGTGTCTCTCCCTCCTCTTCTGCTGCAATATTTACATTCTATATTCGTATTCCAAAACGGGTGTGACGAGAGCCGATTTCACCACAGACATCGTTAAAGGCATCGCAAACGAAATTATTCAGTTTATAGCTAGCAATATCACAGGAAGAAGCAAAAGCAAAAGCGTTGACTGTTTCCTCGGCAGAAACCATTCTGGAACTTACCGGTTGACATCAAACTACGCTAATGACAGCAAAGAATCACCAGAGACAAGAGCCAAAAAGGCTCTATTTTTTGACAGGTTAACACAGGCAGAAAAGGAGGACTATAGAGACCTCATTAAAACTTTCAGTAAAGGCGTGCCTTCAAACATCACCTACTTCCTCTATGCAGGAGCTTTACTCGGTTCCTACTCTCACCATGGCATGATTCCCTGGGATGATGATATGGACATTATTGTCAGGGAAAAAGACAAACCTTTATTGCTGAAATTCCTGCAGTCCCTCGGGTCAAAATATGAACATCACACCAGCTGGAAGGTAAACTGGAAGTTTTACCACGTAAAGTCCCCAAAGGCTGGTGAAAAGCACTGGAAGTGGCCCTTCCTCGATATATTCTTTTATTCTGAAAAACCTTCAAACATACGAGACTGTAAAGCCTTGAAAAAGAAATTCAACAAGAGTGATGTGTTTCCTTTGATCCAACGACCCTTCATGGGGATGATGCTGCCAGCTCCAAGGAACACTCGTAAGGTTTTGGAAAAGACTTACAAAATCGATCTCTGTGTATCGAATTCATATGATCACAGATTGGAGAAGAGCGTGCCAGACAAATGTGTAGTGAAACTTCCGTGTCACATGTTAAAAGACCAGTATCCCTTTGTAACCCGAAAGGAATCAAATAACAAAACTGTTGAGATATTGGAAGACCCCTACAACATCTCCTCCAACAGAAGCGTTTATGAAACGAAACAAAGTATATTAATGTAACAATGAAATTTTGTATAAACTGTCGAAAGATAGATATGTAAACATGCACACCATAACTATTATATTGCACACACAAGAATATCCATCTTCATAAATATTTTATAATAATATGACATAAACGAATATGAATCCATTTCTCAATTGCTACTATCCTTATCAAGTATGTATGAGTCAGTGAGTGAGTTGTGTTTAACGCCGCTTTGATGTTTGTTTTGTGTTCGTTTGTTGTTTAACGTCGCACTGCGCAATATTCCAGCTATATGACGGCGGTCTATAAATAATCGAGTCTGGACCAGAGAATCAAGTGATTGACATCATGAGCATCGTAATTGGTATACGATGACATACATCAACCAAGTCACGAGCCTGACCACCCGATCCCGTTAGTCGCCTTTTACGACACGCATGGGTTGCTGAAGACCTATTCTACCCTGAATCTTCACCGCTTTGAGCAGGGGACGCACATCCGCACTGAGAATTGCGGCAACTTAGACGACAGGGCCACCTGTGACCCCATGTGTTTTTGAATAACTATCAAACAATGATACCAGGTGTTCGCGAACATATCAACGTATCCTGCCCCACCAGTGGCACCCGTCACAAAGGCATGCAAGGCGAGCCAATTGTTTTCCGGGAAACCAACATGCGAATATATGGTACAAGTCAAAACAGGGAATTGTATGGGACATACTTTTTGTCACTGATTTTGTCAATGTCTTCTTATTATTTTATGGACACATCCTTCCTATAAGAGCAGGGATGTCGCAAGCATTCTTCCTGTCTTCAAGATGAAAGGATCCTAGCTGCATGTTACGCATTTGTTTTGGTGGCAGTGACTTAGATACTGTATGTTACACACAATCTAAACTTTAGTCCTATATCAGCTGAATACATATATGTAATCAGCTGCCTTCCATGAACATCCGGGTTAGAATATCTGGGTCTTCAGCAACCAATGCTTGCCACAAAACGCGAATATGCTTGTCGTAAAAGGCGACTAACGGGATCGGGTGGTCAGGCTCGATGACTTGGTTGATGCATGTCATCGTATACCAATTACGTAGATCAATGCTCATGATATTAATCATTGGATTGTCTTGTCCAGACTGGATTATTTAGTGATCTCCGTCATATAGCTTGAATAGTGCTGAGTGCGGTGTTAAACAACAGTCAGGCGCAAATTCCAACAATGTAAATGGCCGATTTGTACTTTTTAATGTTTTCTACAGACATCAAGTGAGCTGGGAGCTCGAAATAAATATTAGCGCCTTACTTAGAGCACTGGGCAAGTAAATAGACGCTTTTCTCATTGAACTTCTTCATTTTAGAAATATGTTTGCACATCTTCACGGATAAACAGAATTACGACGCTCCCCATTGTCGTATAGTGTTAAACTCTACAGAATAAAGAGTGTTCCTCTCATAATAGCTGGGGGCGGTCGGGTAGCCTGGTGGTTAAAGCGTTCGTTTGTCACGTCGAAGACCCGGGTTCGATTCCCGACATGGGTACAATGTGTGAAGCCCATTTCTGGTGTCCCCCGCCGTGATATTGCTGGAATATCGCTAAAAGCGGCGTAAAACCATACTCACTCACTCACTCTCATAATAGCTGAAATGTGGACATTCAATAAATGTGGACTTTCAACATCAGCTGGATAGATCATGTCAATGTCTACATAAGCTTACCGTAAATGTGCCGAGTCACCATGTTCTGACATTGAATGTCTGTAACTTTATTGTGTTGGTAACCCTCCTGAATCTGGAGAATCATTCGTATCAAGCGTGGTACTGCTAATTGGGCACACTACATCTTGTGTAGGGGACAGTTATTTCATGACACCGGACACATTCCACCGTATACTGGCCGACATGGGAACGTATAGCGGTAAGTTATCTACCCCGAGACAGGTTAAGTCAACTTACCGTTTGCTACGCTGGCATTACTTGTGGTTTACGATGTTTACAAAAATTTCATAGTTGAATTCCATATCTGTGACCTACCAGGAGAGAAGGGGCCTTATGGCTGCTCGGATGCAATTGTGCTGTGACGTCATAAAGAAAGACGTTTCACATCAACTTAATTCCGTAAAAAAAACATCATGTGTGCGGGCTGCACAAAATATCTAAACTCTTATATTTCATCCGTTACTTCGAAATGTAATAAACACATTATTTCAAAACATTTCGGCATACTTGTCTACTTTCAATTAATCAGACATTACTTTGCAGACACTGAGTCCAGATCTTGGATGCCATGTATCTCTATAATAAACATGAACTGAAGGTTATGAATTGGTATTTATGTGGACCTTGGATACCGTAGTTTTAAAATATTAAAATGTTAAAAATTAAAACTTTAAAATGTGTCCCGTAAGGTCCAATATTCCATGGTTGGTCAATATTATATTGCCGAATTTCGTAAGCTCGAACTCCTTCATGTCCAAGCACCGGGAAGATCCGGGTTAGAATAGGTTAGCAGCACCCATGCTCGCCGGAAGAGGCGACTAACGGGATCAGGTGGTCATGCTCGCTGACTTGGGTGAAGCATGTCATCGATCCCAATTGCTCATGATGTCAGTCACTGGACTGTCTGGTCCAGACTCTATTATTTACAGACCGCCGTCACATAGATGGGATGTTGTTGAGTGCGGCGTTAAACAACAAACAAACTACGTCTACTACATAAATGACAAGAAATGTCAGTGGAAAGAATATCTCATTGTAATACATTGTAGCATATGTGATTCTCTGCTTAGAAGATAAACGCCGTGATATAACTTGACTACTGTTCTGGGTGGCGTTAACCAAACGCACTCACTCTTTCACTCACTTAAGCGATAAATGTACTGTAGTTTGAATGTAGATTTAGGTTAACTGCGCAACAATGAATTTGAACCAGATCGCGTATAAAGGTTGGCAAGTGAAACTGTTAGGAATGTGATATATTGCCACGATTACAGGGCGTTTCTTAAAATGGTTCTCAACCCGTGCTGTCAAGTCTTAATGTTAGGGTAAGGTATGGTTTATAGAGCAACCCCGACGATAAGGGCTTCATCTCTCGCCACTATCACTTTCGCCTGAAATCAAATAGAGGCAGTGTCGTACATTATCTCGCACGTCAACTCTGCATAGGCACAGCAATAACCTTTAAAACACATCTGTGACGTCATTCTATTGTTTGAACGCTCCATTATTTTTCAGGAATACTACAGAATATTTTGTCAAAGTGTAAAAGTAGGGATGAGTTTCAAGTAGGGGAATATCCTCGTAACTCTCCATTCCTTAAAAATAATAGGCCTCGGCCCCTGCGGGGCCTCTGCTCCATTATTTTTAAGGAATGGAGAGTTACTCGGACATTCCCCTCTACAAAACATCGAGCACACCAAGGATACAACACTGTTCAGTTGTTATAACGAAAGTAAAAGTGATCATATAGATTTATATCGCTTACCTAATGACAACTAACAATAATTATGATAATATTGCGTTATGGAATGATCAATCATTTAAACCTGTACACACACAAACACCCATATGCACCAGGATAACGTTTGGTGAAAGGGTACGTCAGACCTGAAACTGATGTACTGATTCGTAATGTGTACTCATGTGTACTGACGGGTCACCGCCCACACCACAGTATGTGCATACCTGATGTTACAACGAAAAGGTTGGATACAGACTATCCCTGAGATAAGCTGCCGAGGCTATCCCGGCTAAACAAGAGTGGAACAGTAGTGGCTGTTTTGAAATATTTAGAGCTAGACTTTACCATTTGTCTTTAGAGAATGGTGTAAATTTTTAAAAAAAAGTGAGGAATGTTATCGACCCGTGAAGATCCGGGGTAGAATAGGTCTTCAGCAACCCTTGCTTGCCGTAAAATTCGACTATGCTTGTCGTAACGGGATCGGATGGTCAGGCTCGCTGACTTGGTTAATGCATGTCATCGTATCCCAATTACGAAGATCTATGCTCATGATGTCAAACACTTGATACAGACCGCCGTCATATAGCTGGAATATTGCTGAGTGCGGCGTTAAACAACAAACAAACAAACAGGAATGTTATCACCACCAAGTAGAATGCGTAGATTGCGTAGATCTATGCTCATGATGTCAATCACTGGATTCTCTGGTCCAGACTCGATTATTACAGACCGCCGTTACATACCTAGAATATGGCTGAGTGCGGTACAATACAACAACAAAACACATAAACAATTTTTAAAAATAAATTAGGTGTATAGATGTCAGAAATATATTTACATGGGTACACTGTGTAAAAATGTCTAAAAACATCTATCTCGACATTTTCAATTATTTGATTTAATGGTGCATTTACCAAAATGCTGTATTGATGAGTACTGATGACGGGAGGTTATGTACTATAAAAAAACATACACACACAGAGGCATCTGCTGTTTTTGTGTGTGTGAAACATCAAAATTCAAGCAACATGTATGTGACGGCGGCATTACCCAGACAAACAAGTGATTGATAGTATGAGCAGCGACGTCGGGATAAAAGGTCAAGGAATCTGACAACATGATCCATTTAGTCGCTTCTTCTTCATAGTTACCTGGGGACCCATTCTAACCCTGAATCCTCACGTGTATATGCCATTCATGCACGCGTTTGCAACATAACATATGCCATTTTTATGCATTAGGTGTGGTGGGGTAGCCTAGTGGTAGTATCGTTCGTTTGTCATGCGTAGTCCTGGGTTCGATTCCTCACTTTGTTATGTGTGTGAAGCCCATTTCTGGTGATAATGCCTGAATATAAACAGCGCAAAATGATACTCATTCAAACTTATGCATTGAGGAACAGCCCAAAGCTCTTGGATGCACCGGGTACGTATGAGGCGTTGTAACTCGCCGTGTACATGTGGAGTTGCATCCCTTAACCGAACAAGGATCCCATGGTCGCGGGTTCGAATACTACCATGACAATGATTTTATTGTTTTTCAGCACCATGCGTATGCCGGTGGAGTTCAGCAACGTCTAGTACAACTTTCGCTTTCATCTCACATTCAGTTGACACGACATGATATAAAGCAATTTTGATCGAACCAAACGAATTAACAAGAAAGCATTCGAACATGAATGTTTTCTTCACACACATAGTTCAATAGCGAATAACTCGGTTATCTAATTAGTACATCAGTACCGTTGAAATCCCTCTTGTTTGTAGTCACCTTGAGAACTGTCTTTAGTCAGTTTGTTTGATCCTAATTCACACATGTACATAGTTTACAAGAATGCACTCTTATAAATAGATATCGCGCAGATAATACGTGTGTTTCAAGAGAATATTTAGCCTTGGCAAATCGCATAAGCCCCCAAAATATTACAGAACATTTGTTATCCATTTATTAGGACTCCAAACCAGATTGGCTGGGAGATTTTTTTAATTATTATTATTATTATCATTATCATTATCATTATTATCTTCTGATGGTACCTAAACCTCCAGCTTCATATATTATCATTATCATTATCATTATTATTATTATTATTATCTTCTGATGGTACCTAAACCTCCAGCTTCATATTTATGTTGGTTTTGGGGTTGGAGAGTACATGAACAATTAATTTGTGAGTTCAGTAATTAAGCTACATTGAAAGTTGGATGTATTATTGAGTAGTGTATCATATTCGAACAATACCGAGAGCGACATTTCAGGCTTCTTTTTCCAGAAGCTGAAACATCTGATGGAATGAGAGCGAATTTCGCCACAGTAATGAGTAACGTCACCTTATCTTTCCTTCATAGTTAGAAATCAAAGTAGCAACAGAGAATCCAGATTCAGGATCTGCGTATAGGAATGTGTAATGATGTCAGCCTCTGTACAAGCTGATCCGTGAAGAGCCGGGGTAGAATAGGTCTTCAGCAACCCATGCTTGCCGTAAAAGGCGACTATATGCTTGTCGTAAGAGGCGACAAACGGGATCGGGTGGTCAGGCTCGCTGACTTGGTCGATGCATGTCATCGATCCCAATTGCGTGGGTCGATGCTCATGATATCGATCGCTGGATTGTCTGGTCCAGCCTCGATCATTTACAGACCGCCGTCATATAGCTGGAATATTCCTGAGTGCGGCATTAAACAACAAACCAACCAACCTGTACAAGCTGTACTACAAGAGGAACGATTATAATTTTCAATCGTGAATTTCCCTATCATGTCGAGCAATATCACTCCCTAGACTGTCTGATCCACACTCGATTGTTTACAGGCTGCCGTCAGTCATATGAATGGATTACTGAGTGCGGCGTTAAACAACAAACCAACAATTTGGTACATTTCAATGAAAAACGCGTGAGTGGCTGTTACTACCGATAGAGCAAGACATACCTCTTTCGCGAACACCTGGTGTCATCACTGATTTTCGGTGATCTATTCATTTAATTTTCATCACAAATCGCAATGAAATGTTTCGGCTCATATTTGCGACCGATTGTTCTCTAGTGATGACATTTTAAAAAGAGGTCTTAGCTTGGTGGCTGAATGGGTTAGACTGACTTTGTGTGCTGGCGATTAGGTGCCTCACCCTGGATGGGGACTCAACCCCAAAAGTACTAGAATCTGTACTTTACTAAGAAAGTGTTATCCAAAATATAACTTTTGTTACACTTAACCACTTTCTAAATGGCATTGTGTGCGCAGGTCTTACCTCATAAACGTCTAATCTTGTTTTAAATCTACATTAACGACACGCTTGGGAATGTCTGGTTGTTGACGTTGCAGGGGTACGGGTCGGCCAGTGGTCTCTCTCCGCAAAAATACTGTACATTGAATGGATATCTCTTAGTGTAACGTGATGTAAATAAAATGTAACCATCTAATTCAAAGCGTTCGTAAAATATTCAAACTGCGAAGCAAGAACATAAATGTGATACAAGCCAACTTTGCAACCACAATGAGACCGACCATTAGATATTCTGGTGAGTGAGTGAGTGTGTGAGTGAGTTTAGTTTCACGCCGCTTTTAGCAATATTCCAGCAATATCTCGGCGGGACACACCAGAAAGGGGCTTCACGAATTGAACCATTTGGGGAATCGAACCCTTTATCAACTAGGCTACCCCACCGCCCCTGATATTCTGGGGTTTTGTACTATATTTAGTTGTAGCCTGGCGCATCGAAGGAATAGATTTTCAAGTCTTTCTTTGGGAGGCAGTATGTCCGGAGTTTGTTGCCATTGGGGTTACCTTGGTCGTTCCACAATTCACAGAACCAGTTACTTTCATCTAGCTGATACTACCGGCGTCAAATATTGTGTAAATCCATTCTAGGCACACTCAGTAAGTCATATATATTTAGCCTTTTCGCTAATTATTACACATTTTCCCTACGAGTGGCATCTATGGGTAAACCACATATGAATAGAGCAAGGGATTTGTGTCGTGGCATAGTTTTTAAACGCTGGAAACAGCTGAAGACATCGTGTCTTTGTTTAGTCACATATACATATGTTTACAATTAATAATTGTGTGTTTTCTAGTTTTGTCGTATGATTTGTCTCTTGTGAGGATTCTGAATCAGTGTCAATGATGACGTGGGATGCTACCATGGATATTTCAACATTTTTTAGCAATATCACAACTTGATTGTCTGGTTTAAAATTTGATTACAGGCCGCCGTCGCATATCACGAGTACCGCTGTGCGGAGTCAGGAAACAACCACTTATATTGTTGTGCAAATTCTGAGGGTGGCGGGGGGTACCGGTAGAGCAGGGCAGACTTACTATTGTCGCGAAACACCTGGTGTCATCACTGATTTTCAGTGATTTTTAATATAATTTTCACCGTTATTTTACCTTTTACGCCCAGTGGAATCCGTTTCCGTGGATAATCGAGACTGATACTTCTCTAGCCTTGACGTTCTATGTTTACATTGTGTGACATGTCTGTTTGTGTGTCATCGTATCCGAAAGCATGGACTCAAGTACAGAGACAGTCAGCCCCGATCAGCAGTCCATCACTGGCCCATAACTGGGTTGTCTGGTCAATACTCGATTGTTTTCTGGCCGCCATCATTTGGCAGGAGTACTGATGTGTGGCGTTACTTTCTAATGCAGTGTGAGCGGCGTGTGTTACCTGAAGAGCAGGATATGCTTACCCCTTTCGGGAACATAAGGTTTAATCACTAATTTTCAGCGATCCATTCATGTTATGTTCACGACTATTTTGCCTAATACCCAATGAAATCGGCGTCGGCGGGTAATCGACAATAGTAAGTAGTAATGTGTGACCTAGCCGATTGTATTCATATAGCCTGGAATAATTACTGTCCTAGAGTTACCCTGATCGCGTATATAGCCTGTCGAAAATACAGCTTTAGATGATAATACCCGGTCGTAAAACTCTTACTCACAAATCCACTATCAGTTAGAAAAGGGTCAATGGTTCTCTTAACCTCATTAATAGTTATAGATTTTGTTAGCTGTTGAGTTGTTCAAGTATATCAATATATGTTGCTTAGAAACGCCAGTCACCAATCGCTTGACAGATTTAGTTGTCTATCGATCCTAGCCCCACTGGGGAACAATAGACCATCAGTATGCCATGTTTATGGTAAGAATCGAGTGACTGGATTGTCAGGATGTAATCCCACGAATTCAGTCGATGTTCATGCCTTCACTCATTCGTTTGTTTGGTTCAGATTCGATTTTGTACAGGTCGCCTTACGGTAGTTTGAATGTTGCTGACTGCGGCGTTTAAAACGTTCACTCACTGACACATATGTCAAATCGACTATTGAATTGATTCAACTCTACCAGAATGTGTTGGTGCTATCATCCAGATTTAAATCTAGTTAAAAAAGTTATAACCCCCTTAAAAATGAGATATTAGGATGCTCTCTAATTTAACACTTCTATGCACCAGCTTTCCTTCCAGTAAAGTTAAAAGTAGCAACCCTGGGGAGGTTTAAATCGATATTGTGTGACTTTTGACATACTCATTATCAAACGTATAAAGAATTATTAAAAGTAAAAATTAAATAAGTCCTTTTGAGAATTGGCAAGCCTTTATATTCTTATCACACCTACATGTACCCACACCCTAACTACATAGGACTTGACCCAAACGTTATCTAGATGTTACTAAGCTGAAAACAGTTGTTGAAGCACTTCAAACTTTAAGGTCCAAAACACAACAATGATAGCCGTATCAAATACATCACCATCCATGTCTTTTTCAGCCACCATCAAACATGGGAATATATTTCCTCTGCCCAGCAGTGTATACCAAACTTTGTATCAGACTTGACAAGAAAAACGAGAAATGTAGCGTTTGTAATCATAAAATAAGCAACGAGATATCATGGCAACGGTAAATACAGGACCCCAGAGGACAACAAGGCCATTGGGGTGTTGTCACGTTGCAGTCGCTGTAAACACAATATCGTTGAGGACGCTGCCGTTAGTGACCTGCATGAAGGGGAGATGGCGGGAGTGGTGTATGCATGGCGGGTGAGGCTTTGTTAATTGATTGTTTGCGTGTTCACGTACCCCAACAACATGAACATTTATCATTACAATAAGCATTGATTTGTCTGGTCTGGCCACCATCGTAAAGACAAAATATTGTATAGTGCGACATTTGACAACAAAAATCTATACGGTTACATGTGCATGCTTTCCCTGAAATTGAAATTGAAATAGACCCATGACTGACAGCTGTTTGATAAGGGCAGGCTCAATCCTATCCAGGAAAAATAATTAAAAAACATTAACCATTCCGAGTTAATAGATAATATATGACAGTTTGACACTCAGTATAGCATGTCGTTCATATAGAAACATTTCCGACATCTATACTCTTAATAAAAACGGGTGTGGCCACATAGCATATCCTACATGGTACTGCTGCAGTAATACTAGTTGGTAGTGATAGCAATAAGGCCTGTCTGAATTTGTTTCCTTGAAGGTTTAATGTAAACAAAGTCTAAATATGTCATATATGTCCTGATAATATATGTATTTTAAGGTACTTTTTAACCTGACAATCCTTTGAATACTGCAAAATATTTAAAATAATGCACTTGACATTTATATTCTATTGAGACAGTCGTACACGCAAAACGATAATGTGAAGTCGTGGCGAAAGCCACATTTCCAGAACCAGGTCAACGCATAGTGTTACCTGATAACAAACGTGTACATGCGCGGTGACGGAAACTCACAGTCATATTTATGCAACTTCTGGCTAGCTGCTTCGACGCTAGAAAAGGTAAGCACGCTCTTGATATCGCAATACCTTATTGTTTAGTACTACATCGTCAACACTGAACAAGAGCCAGTTAATACCTCATGTGAGGTTATTCAGTGGTCTAATAAGCCAGTTTATAGTATAGTGAACATAAATGCGACAACGACTACACTTACACATAGTTAATGAGAAAATGTAAAACTTTTTAAAATCAAATATTGTAAGGTAATATTACTTTTGTACTTATGTTAAATCAATGCAAGATATACATGTACCTTCCTTGTCAAGCATAGAGTATTACATGGACATGGGTGGTGTTGTAATGATATGGTCAACACGGCACCTCGGTTGTCGAGATTATATTGTTTTAAGTGAAGTAGAAAATGAGTGTACCCCCACCCCCACACCCCCCACCCACCCCCCACCCCCGACACACAGACAGACAGACTGACACAGAGCTGACAAGCCATGATTTAGTAAAACAGTTTTTTATTGTGATATTAAACCCAGGTCTCTCATTCACATAAAGGTTCTAATTCTTATTCACCAAATCAAATAACGTAAATCACAACAATTACCGCTCAACGTATTTCATTTTTGTTTCGGAATAGCGAAATCATTTTGATGATTTGTCGTCTGCCCCAAAATGTACATATAGAAAAATTACCCTTGAGAATGTCTGTTAAGTCGCGTCATTTGTCAAAAAGACAAACTTCGGAACGCAACATAGTCATCGCCCACTGCAAGGTGCACCATTGTAGTGAGTATTGTGTATTGTGTACATATATTGCGCGTAGACTTGCTAGCAGTATAGGGTTCTCATCAATAAATTGAAATATATGGACAGGGTTTTAATATAATGCGCCACAAAAAATGCTCAAATACGATGACAGTGCATCCTAAATTGTACATTGAATAATTACAGAACTATCGAACATTGGATTGGTTTGGACGAACGTAATTGACTTAACTATTAACTATGAGGTACATTCCTATTGTCAGCCAATATTATCACGAACAATACTGTTATGTTAGCGTTTATAGTGTTCTGTGTTTATATATGTGCAACATTGTATTTTGAAATACACATCGTGTGACACTGATATCTTGGTAATCGCCTCGCAATATCCCGTGTACCGGATATTGTCGACAGATGTGGAAATAGATACTACTGACTGTGGCACTACTGATACCATGGTCATAAAACATTGACTTGAAGTGAAAGCGTACTTCGCTATCATATGAATAAAAGCAATGCAGCTCTCCGACGCTGATGCCTTGACACCTATGTTATGTAAACGCCTTACGGTTTGACAATGACTATGCACAATGGCAAAAACCCTATAACGAGTCAAGTCTTGAATTATGGAAGGTCATCCCTCCAGATACAGGGTCATACACGCTCGCACGCACATACACATCTGCGTCTCTCTCTCTCTCTCTCTCTCTCTCTCTCCCTCTCTCTCTCACACACAACCTCACGCTCCCCCTCCCTATGTCAACTCTTTTCTCCATGGCAGCTTGATAATTTTCCTCTTGAAATGTATTTCAAAAATATTAAAATTAACGAAACATAATATTCATTTGTCGTAATTCGTTTTGCAGCGACTAGTCATCATACAGAGGATACAAGTATGAAAGTGTCACCCATGAAAACCACAGTAGTGTGTCTGTCCCTCTTCTTCTGCTGCAATCTTTACTTTCTTTATTCGTTTTCCAAGACGAACAGAGCGAAACGAGAAATCACCACAGATATTGTTGAAGGCATCGCCAACGAAATTATTAAATTTGTAGCTAGAAATATCACAGGAAGCAGCAAAAAGAAGAGCTTTGACTGTTTACTCGGAAGAAAACATTCTGGGATCTACCCTTTGACATCACAGCATGCTAATGGTGATAAGGAATCACCAGAGACGAATGCAAAGGTTTTATTTTATGATCGATTATCACTGAAAGAAAAAGTAGAATTCAAAGACCTCATTAAAACTTTCAGTAAAGGCGTGCCTTCAAACATCACCTACTTTCTCTATGCAGGAGCTTTACTCGGTTCCTACTCTCATCATGGCATGATTCCCTGGGATGATGATATGGACATTATTGTCAGGGAAAAAGACAAACCTTTATTGCTGAAATTCCTGCAGTCCCTCAGGCCAAAATATGAACATCACACCAGCTGGAAGGTAAACTGGAAATTTTACCACAAAAAGTCTCCAAAGGCTGGTGATAAGCATTGGAATTGGCCCTTCCTCGATATATTCTTTTATTCTGAACATCCTTCATTCATCCGAGATTGTAGAGCCACAAAAAAGCAATTCAACAAGAGTGATGTGTTTCCTTTGATCCAACGGCCCTTCATGGGGATGATGCTGCCAGCTCCAAGGAACACCCGTAAGGTTCTGGATTTGACTTACAATATCGATCTATGTGTGTCGAATTCATATGATCACAGACTGGAAAAAAATGTGCCATCGAAATGTGTAGTGAAACTCCCGTGTCACCTGTTAAAAGACCAGTTTCCCTTTGTAACCCGAAAGGAATCAAATAACAAATCTATTGAAGTAGTGGATGATATCATATCCTGCAACCAAAGCGTATATGAAACAACAAATGCATTTTAAGTGTCGATGAAGACAGCCAGACATCTAAGTGTACATAATACACAATAATTGACGTCTTCAAGTGACTTTTAGAAGTTGATATGATGAATAAGGGAGATAGTGCTACGGATATACACAAACAGCTTTATTGCAATGAATGCTATTAATTCATTGAATTTCTTAAAAGGAAATACACAATGCAACAAGGCAATTTGTGTCAGGCAGGTATGTTATTTTAACAGTCTGAAACATAATTATTTTTTTCAATACATGTAAAGAATCGAGTGTGCATGTTATGTGTGTATTTTTGTGGCACTTGCACAGATGTACCATTGGCACTTGAGTGGGATGCTGTATGCGATGCAAATATCATCTTCCGATCTCTATTAATTACATCCATGTACTGACTGGACAAGTCCCACACTTTAAATGGCTATTTAAAGTTAAATAGTTTTCTACAGACGTCATGGGAGCTGGTAATATCGATATAAATTAGTATTTTAATTACTTTTATGGGCATGAAAACAGACAACTATAGGGAAATGAATGAAACTGAATAGTTGGCACTTTCGTGACATTGAATAGTTTCATTTTAAACATATGATTTTGCACAGTTTTACATATATTTTCAGAATCAGAACTAGGACACGCCGCATTGTTATTCAGTGCTAAACTCAACAGAGTTTCCACAATATAAATTGCTGAGATGTATTTCAGGTTGAATTGTTTTCTATCAAAATAATAACAGCCGTTTCATTCTAAATCTAAAAATAAATTCTTTACCTAGTACATTGAACTATGAATAAAGTAATGATAACAATTTTAACAGCAGCTGGCTGGGTCATATTCCGTCAATGTATAAATAATCATTATTTAGGTCCGCATCACCATGATTTGACTCTTATATATTTACTTTATTGTGCTTTCGTCCAGAAGGTGACGGTCGGTATCAACCGTGGTTATTACTCATCGATCACAATATACCTGTCAGACTATTCCCCCATGAGGGGTTAGGTCAACACAGCAGCATTCCCTTTGGCTATGGTTGCGGACGTACATAAGAATGCCCAATTAATCAATAGTTTCTTTACTGAATTTTCATATATTGTGGAATATCGAATACACCCGAAATCCATTATGTAAACATATGTATAAAGCTGTATGACAGAATCCGTTTCAAGATTACTGAATGTCGGCGGTCAGCGTATCATTAATGACGGATGGCTTAACGTTCCTTCTATAGTTTAGGACTTAAAGGATTCACTCATGTCCTGTCTGGTTATGAGTTATTGGAATATCACAGTAGGTGGAGATAATGTGCCTGTTGGTATTGGCATTTGTCTGTTTGAAGTAGCTATTAGGCTCTCGTACATGTACAAAGTTTCAACTAATTTTGAGTTCATGAATTCATAGATTCCGCAAATTGTTTTAGCACTATATAGCTACTGTTCATGTCAAAGCTAATGTAATCAGGATTAAGAAGCTGTAAGTTGTCTCGCGATAACCGCGGTTTGTGTACTAGTACAGTATATGCCCTGTTCAAAATAAGAATATATACCGACACCCGTCACTCACACATTTTCCATAAAAAGGCAAGTGTTTAATTTGTTTGTTGCCTAATACACTTCAGTATTCCCGCCAATGCGACGGCCGCATGTAAACTATCGAGTCTTGACCAAACAATCCTTGGACACGATAGTATGGCAAGCCGTTTTCACATTTATTACGGAATTAGAGATATCTTCAAATGTTTTAAAGATATTGGTATTTTATTTTAAGATGTCTATAATGTTTTAAGATATGAAAAAATAATTAAAGATATCTTAAATTCATTTCTGATATCCATTATACAGTTACTGATATCTTAAAATGTTACGGTGATATCAACAAATTAGTTTGTGATATCTCTAAATGTATGTAAGATATCATTAAACAATTACAATCCTACTGTACATAAATATATTAGAAATAAATTCCAGATATCTTAAGTTATACATATCCACAAATGCATTACAGATATCATTAATTCGTTTAAGATATATTTAATTCAATTACAGATATCTTTAATTCAATTCAAGATATCTTTAAATAAATTCAAGATATCATTAATTCTGACCGTTACTGATATAAAAAATCCAATTATAGATATCAGTTACCTAATTTAAGTAACAATATTAAAGTAACGTCTAATGGCAACAATTGAAGATATCAATAATTAATTAATTCAACTGTATTTAGTTTCAAGATATCTGAAATTGAATTACTGACATCATAAAAAACACTACATTTTGATATCTTTAAATCATATTTTGATATCAATAATTGAATTTAAGATATCAGCAATTCTTTTCAAGAAATCAGTAATACGCTTCACCATATCCTTAATTCATTTGGTGATATCTTAAATTTTATTGTAGATATCTACAATTATCTGTATTTAAGATATCTTCAATTCCATTCACGATATCTTCAGTTCAATTGAAGATATCTTCAATTCAGGATATCTTTAAAACAATTGAAGATATCTGTAATTCCGTAATACATGTGAAAACGGCTTGCCATACGATACCGCATTTACTGATTAAGTTGAACCGAAAACCAATAAAAGTAATTTCTCTACATATATGATATTCAATAACAATAAATATGTCATGTACGTGTACCAAGAAATGAACTGGATTCATGTTTTGGTAATGCCAGTTTTATATTTTCTATCACAACGGTGACAAGTAAACATTGTGCATGGTCGTTATGTGTTATTATGCTATGTACACGCGCCTTAGGGTGTATTGCTCTCGCTGACAATAAATGATTGAAAACTTGAATTTTATTCAAACACAAAAGTACATCAAGTAATGTTCTTCTGTCACCTTGTGTTTTTTAAGCTCAATACGCAAGACTTATTTCTTTTCTTTGAAACTTTTAAGTTTACTGACCAAGGGGTTTTCTAATGATTTGTTAATGAGTTAACAGATGTACATCGTTGGAGGGGGAAAGGCAATTTGAGATTTGACGTTCTGTCACGCGTCGTAAAACCAGTCTAGTCACGGTCTAGTGATCTCTCCGCTTCCCACTCTCTTAATTGTCCAACCTCCGTCAACATTCGGCAAAGTGCGACGGTAGTCGTCCTCCAGTGTCTTTACGTCCATTGTTAGAGAATTGGTGACCCATAAATCTTTTTCTCTGGCGGTTTAATCGCACATTTTTAATATGTATTGATTTGATATATGTTATCTTATATATGTTTGCTTACTTAGATATATCTCATGTATTTATAAGCATTTTTGCCACCTCAATAATTGTACATATCTGGTTGTAAATCTTTAGTGGTAACCTTGGATACCTTTTGTTCAGAGCTTTAGTTTGGTACCTACATCTTCCGTATTGCTTAAATATTTAGTTTGCTATTCGGGTTTTCCCTGTGTATTTTCACGGCTGACCGGGATAGGATGCCCTCTCAGAGGTCCACGCACTCGTATATAACCCTTGGCGAATCATGTGTCCTTATCTTCAGGGACAGCTAGACCGTTTACTGGATGGTCATTCGAAACGCAGGTTTCGTTCTTAAGTAATTACGGAGCAGTTTTAATCTTGTACTGACTTACTCTGATTGTATTGAATTGAGGTAAACTTATTAGCTAGGGGTTTTCCGTTAACTCCGTTTTTCCTCTGATTCGTGGATAACCAATTTTCCCGTGATTGCCTAACTTCAAATACCTATTTACGATATGGAGTCTTGAGATACTCCCAAGGTCAAATACCTTGTATTTTGGGGAAGGATTTTCTTGCCCAGTCAAAGTGACTGAGTCTTCAGTCTAGAAGACTATTTTGCCATTCAGGCGTTTTTTCGTCTATTTAACTGTCCAAGAAACTTATTTAAGGGACAGGCCTCTGTGTTTCTTTCTTAACCTGCCAAGGTTAATTACTCATTTGAGTGTCGAGTGAAATCTCAGGTGTCTGTTGGCGGCCGACTTAATTGTCAATTATCATGTCAAAGTGTTGATTTAGCTACTCACATTTTATTATTGTTATGCAGTTGCTTAGCTAAATAAATCAACTTTATATTTTTTCTGGTTTAATCCATTAGTGATCGTTGTGAGTGTAAATTGTTTTTTATCCTTTTTATTTTCATCTGTACTTACAACTAGCTGATAATAATAAACATGTTACACCTATTACCACGTTTTCATTATCACTTTTCTCTTGTTTAATGTCACCCTGGTCTCTGGAGCACAGCTCCTTGACACGTTTCATTCGCCCTCAACATACACTAGTTTGTCAAAGTGTATTTTGTGTGTGCACAATTAAATGTTGGATCATTCGTTAATGCAATATAGTCAACATCTTCAAAATTAATATGTTGTCAGTTTTCGATAACTGTAGATGACGACTGTTACGTTTCATTGGATTTTCACAACTATTTGCCTTTTACACCCATTGGAATCTAATTATGCGAATACATCGGGACTGATTATTCACTGCAGTTGACGTTCCATATTTGTTATTGAATCGACAAGTGAACAGAATTGTATCATTGCCAGGCTAGATGCGTGAATTATCTATGCCCGTATGATAAGCTGACGAACGCGATAACATGCCACATTTCCTTTATTTGTTGTAAAGGGTCACGAAGTACGCTTGAAAGTCCAACCGTTATCGTCGAGTTCCTCTGTAAACTATTCCCTTACCCTAAACATAAATCAACACCCTTTGAGAATGACTGCGGTAAAGATAACATTCCTGGAAACGCCCCGTAATGGCTGGCATCTGCTACCCGCTATGAAAATGTCAGTTGTCAACTTTAATTAATCGAAGGATTAGTTTAGAATTCGATGTCCTATGGATATCTTAGTGATAAACTTATCTATGGCAATTGTATTTTCCTTTTGGAATTAGTTATGTCATCAAATTCCATGACAAGAGGTACCTCCATATAACATATATTCAGTCATTGTGCGAGCTCAGCCTATGTTACCGCTTATAGATGAAAACCAAGCCTCGCTTTCACACAGGTTATAAATAGATTCAATGCTAAAATCCCCATAGTGACGTCACAACCCCTGTCACAGGAAGTGAAAAATCCTGGGCTCTACACCTACCTCATATAAACCTTTTATTACAAATCCTATATGAACATGTCATGTTTTCATATATTTACCATTTCCACATATGTCAATTTATCAAAATAATGCCAAAATATAACCCATCCATGCACTGTAGAAGTTTTGAGAACATGTTTATTGAAGTCACGTGACCTCAAAATATTCTCTCACAGGGTAGAAGTCATTCACAAAAATATGGGTTCCATCTATCTTTATGGAGGAAGGGGCCAATTCCTGTGTTTCCTGCAATCACTGATCACTAAGCTTCCTATATCCAACTTAAAATAGGAGGAGCTAGAACTGTAAACATGTTTTTAATTGGATAAAAGACAGTCCCGAGTTTCCCCCTCGAAGTGACCAAGAAGTCCCACACAGAGCAGCCAGAAACATAAATAAATCTGGCACCTTACTGATAGCATCACATTCTATTGACAGATATGTTACTTTAGGGCAATTTTACACCGTTTGTTTAAATTTGTGTTGACTGATATGTCAATGAGGGTCTAATTTGTGTGTCAGGGGTCTAAACTGATGGTTTACAGGTTGTGGTGTTTGACATTTGGTTCTTTCTGTCATAAGCTGTCTGGACATAGTTTGTGAGTGTTATCACACTGAACAGACATTTGCGCTTAAATAAATCAGAACTTAAATCTCAAATATGTATTGGTTTGTTAGTTTTAATTAGGAAAAGTAACCCTTCACAGCACCGTCTGCTGTAGCAGTATACTACTGATTCTGTTGTAATGGACGATTACTTTTGGATTATACCTTGGCTATTGCATTTTTATGCCCAATCATGGCTAAATTGTGTGTTTCAACTGTTTTTTTCTTGGCACTCACTTGGAATACCAGTTTCTTACTAACTATTTATCATGATGCGACTTCCAACTGACACCACTGAAGATTTGTCAAGAAAGGTATGAACATATTGGAATTCTGACGCCTCCAAAACTAATGAATTTTCAAGTGGAAAATATCAAGTGTACATTTTTACCAATAAGGCTTGTGTATGCATTAATATTATGTAGAACTTTTAAACGCTCGTAGAATTTTGCATCTTGTGAATGTGTGTGCATTTATGCCATCCAAAAAGTCAGAAGGAAATAGAAACAAAAGCTGGAATGATGGCATTCCTCCTGAGAAAAAATGTGAGACATCGTATCATTATGGTATCCCATGTAGTCCCTGTCAGGTATGCATACAGTTTGGAACATTTTATCAAAGATGGTCCTCATCATGAAATGAATAAACCTTATCACCCAGGTGAAAAGCATAAATATTCAGTGAATATATTTCGTAAAATGGAAAACTAATAAAAGTACAAAAACACAGTTGTTTTAGTAGAAACCTTTTTATCCAGCTGACAGAAACTGGAGAGTGAATATGTCATCTGCTAGCAAATTGTATTTAGTGTTTGTAGGTCGCATTTGAAAACGAGGCTTGGTTTTTACGGGAACAGATATCAATTACAAAATCGAGGCTAATTTCGCACACTGACCAGACGTTTTCGAATTCCAATCGAAATTGTTTTTTTCTCATGATGCTGAGATACCGACAAGAGGAAAATGATATGAGTAATATTTTGAAGTAAGACTTTATTGGACACACAATATTTCTTGATTTTACATGTGGGTTGAATTCGTTTATGGTGCAGACAAAACAACAAGAAGAAAACAGTGTGATTGTTCATGAAATAAATGTAAAGTGTCGTTCAATTGAAAGACTAGTGTATTTATACACGTGGGCCCTCTTGAGTGTAATGTATTTATCATATGAAAGTGCTTGCGCAAGAGCAGTTTTGACTTAGCATAAACTTGCAGAGAGTTATGAGAATGTTCACTCTCATAAATCACGTATACATATTAATAATTTCTTCGCTTGGTAGGGCGGTCGGATAGCTTTTGGTTAAAGCGTTTGCTCGTCACGCCGAAGACCCCGGGTTGGATTCTCGACATGGGGACAGACATTGTCCAGCTATAACTGAAATTTGGTTTACGAAGGTTACTGGTATATATTTAGTGGCAAGACGAGTCACAGTATTGTATTCTCTACCTTCAATGTTACCTTGATAAAATCAGTTAGTTTCTCTTCTGTGTTTTCTTCAGTTTCCTCTTGTATTCCATTGAAAGTAGGGTTGTTTCTTATATCTCCCGATTGCATATCGAGCATGTCTTCTCTGGTATCGTGGCCTGGCCAAGACAAGACAGACCAATGTTATTATTATAAATTATTATGATTACTACATAATCGGCGTCCATACCTACATGCTATTGATGCAACATACACGCATGACATTAATGAACAATCACAAGCCTCAAACGTGCAACATAATTAAGTTTTTGCCAGTAAATCGCTTGAAATTCAGGACGTCCTGGGCCAAATCGGACCGAATAATTGTGATGGTGACTGTGCAGAGAGTATGAGAGGCGTGCTTCCCTTTGTCCAACGTGTTTGCTTGAAATACCACAATTTGTGTCATCATAAAGTGGTATCTGGGAAGATGAAATATCTTCCTTAATATCTTTACACTTTTCATGATACATATCTGATGGGTTAGTTGATTTTGACCACCAAGATCAAGCCCGACCGAACGCTTCTGGTTGAAAGGAAAATGGCTGTTCATAACGGATTTGTACTGTGCCATGTAATGTTACATGAGAACGTGGTAGGTAGGTACATATAACATTATTCTGTCAATCTAAACACATCTCCTAATACAGCTGTGATGCTATAGTGTTTTGTTGTCGGCTAGGTCAGTCCTGTACAAACGTATTTCTGAATATGGGGTGCATGTTGGTGCATGTTGAATTTTTTGTAATATATAATCATATATGCTTGAATTGAGTATGAAGACATTTTAGTTTTATGGTGAAAAAATGTTATCTGTATATACACTTCTAAGAACCCACGTATCTGTTTTAATTGTATTTTAAGTTACTGGAGTTACTGTAGTAGTGCTGGGAGTACTGTTCTTAACACGTATCGTGCCAATCCCTTTGTCCTTGGCGAATATCCACCCTCCTCCCAAAATTTTATTCAAAGACAAAAAGCAGCTGCGTATTGCTTTACCAGGTATAGTCAAAGTTAATTAGGGAGGCTCAACACGTTAATTACTGAAAGAACCTTCTCACATACACATATCAAAGGAAACACGAGGACTCTCGGTATGTTGTCACAGTGGTCACTTTATTATATTGTTGATATTACATTTTGATTCAAACTCAATTCCTTGAGCAAACTATACATTTGTAGACACTTGAGATATATTTACCCAGATACGTGCGTTTTGTTTGATATTCTGCAAACCTGTTTTAGTATTACCAGCTAGCCTGGCTCGGCTCGACGTTGCTTGGCCTGACTGAGGCAATCCCGATTGTGTAGCTGGGAATAGTAAATTGAGAAAGTACACCGAGTTTGTTTTTATATAATAATAAATGAAAAATGAAAGATATGTTGTTAGATTTGATTATGTTAATGTAACTATCACTCATGGAAGAACATTATGGATGTCAACTTCTATATTATGAGGAACACAACGTTTCGGAGTATATACTTACTCCTTCAACGGGTGAATAAATGCCATGAGGCAGGGAACATATATATATATATAAACTGAATCGCAAAAGAAACGTCACCCCAAGTAACATTGCATGAAAAGTTGTCATTTAAATATCTGGGTAAATTTTGTCAAAGTTTCCAAAATTCGGCATCACGGCAACGGCCATGGTAACCCGATGCACGTGAGTTCCGTGCAAATTTGAAATGCACATCCGTTCCCCCATTTCTTGCCCTATAAAAATCCACACAGATCGGATAACATTCATTCGTTATTGAATTGCTACCACATGCCAAGATTGACAAGAAATCAGCGACACCAAGCCCTTGGATGATTGCAAGCTGGACAAAATGCCCACGTAGGGACCATATACAGGCTCCAGCAACGATACCAGACCACAAACACTACAGATGACCGACCACGTAGTGGAAGACCAAGGATCACCACCCGACGTCAGGATCGTTAGATTGTGCGACAGCATCTTAAAGATCGCTTTGTTACTGCTGCGGAAACTGCTCGACAAACCATGGGGACACA